TTGAAGTGAATTTTGTTTTATTAACGCACTAGGTGAAAAATGAGGTACAATTGTTATGATCGATTTTTCTTGATGTTTTGGTCTATTTAAAATTACACGTTGAAAACCACCATTACTAGATACAGAGTTCAGACTTAATAGTCGACAGAAGAATGTTGTAAACAGTTGTACGAAGGAGAATTTTCCGTTTAGGTATTCCGGAAACGCGGGGTGCGCTCGTAAATTTTGTAATAACGCTTTGAACGACCATGTATGTCTTTCGAAGCGATTCCGAAGGTAAAGAATGGGAGGCCGGCGCGTAGGTTCAGGTGCAATGCACGCGTTAGGGTAACTCGAGCAACGATATACAAGAGAAACGTCATGTCCGCCGACGGATATTTCACACTGCTCTGCTTCCTGTCGCTCCCGTATTTTTGTCCGCCGCCTTACGCGCGTTGTAACGCTTCTCGCGGCGCAGCAAATTGGAGCTTGTCAATGGGAATTTTATTCGAAGCCCCCTTGCGAAACGTCGGGAGAAACTGGCTGAGCGTAGTTTACGAGCCCGTTTGATGAGACGCGCTGGAACGAGTCTCGCGAACCGTCGCTCTCGAACCGGCGCGTCCCTGGCCCCGGTATAAAAAGTTAACACGGTCAAACTGAGAGAATCCCGTTCGATGGACGCGATTCCTCGCCGATTTATGGCAGTTTTATTTTTCAGCTTGTTACAGGAATGTTGAAGATGCACGTTAAGGAATCAGCGACTCTTCATTCACGTTCCACATTTTTGTTTTCTAGGAATTTACCGTGGAACGATCGATGCTTCTTGGAAATAGAATATATCTGATCGGACAATTGTTTTAATTTGGTTTAAACTGGAGGTTTCTTGTGAAAATTATTTTTCAGCCTGGTGTTAGGGAGTCTGCCAATTTTCGTTCACATTTTATATTTTTGTTTTGCCTTTTTGGAGGAATTTGCGATGGAATGAACGTCGTCTACTGAACATAGAAAATATCTATGTAAATAGTTAGTCTTCGTTTAGGTTAGAACGAAATTTTCCCTGGGAAATTGCCCGTAGGTGATCGAACGATTAACATGCAAACTAACAATCTCTTTCCAGCACGTTTAATTATTATTCAATTTGTTAGGACAAAGGCGTCACAGTCAGGACAATATAGCCGAAGTTACCTCATCGTCAAGCCACGCATAATCGCGCCGAGCGTCTTACCTTGAAATTGGATCGCAGACCTTTCAAAGCGTTTGGGTTGCCCTTTAACTTCCGCGCATCTGCTTTCTTATTAAATTGAAAATTTCCGAAATGAGCTGTCAAAATTTAATAACTTAGACGGCGAAAATCTAACGGGAGCAGCAGTGTTGCAAAAGGCTCCGAATTCCGTTTTCTAGTTCCTAAAATGGTTATGCTAATCCTTTCTGAAGGTACAAAACGTTTCAACTATAATCCTTCTTAACGTCATATTATTAAAAATACATAACATAAAAAGTCAATGTAAAAAAATACAATAAATAACAGAGTTCGAAAACAATAATAGCTTCGAAGTTTAATCTCACAAAATCCCAACAAAAATTGATAAACACGCGATGCGTTCAAATCTCAATCTAACGCAGTCGACATAATAATTACTGCGTTAATCAACTACGAATACAATCCACGAACATCTTATTACCGTATCACGGTGTAGTATCGGCTACTGCAACAAAATTCCGACGGCGTCCATGAAACTCGGTCGTAAAATTCGGTGGAAAATCGTGAACTGACGCGGACAACAAGCATCGTTCGACCCAACGATTACGCCGCGAGTTCCCAGGCAACGGTGCATTCTCTATCCTCTATCTCTGTTCCGGTGATCTCTAGTTAGCGAGGCGTCCGCCTGACCCCATTAATCGGGGGTTGTCCGGGGAAGATTTTAATTAAACGTTCGAAGATTCCTCCGCGGGTAACGGTGATTACGGACGCAGCGGAAAACGAATACGTGACCGATGAATCCCGTTGGGTCGAAGCGCAACGCGGAGTCCGGAGGCCATTGTTACGCGCTCAGACACTGCTCACGGAAAATTCTCGCGGGTATTCTCCGGCGAGAAATACGGCGCGCGTGTCTTTTCGAATTACCGGGAGGAACGGTGCCCGGCGTGTATTAGAATCCTTTTAACCGGACATAAATAAAGGAACCGCCGGGCCAAAGTAATCTCCTGGGAGGATTAGCCCCGACGGAGGGCGAGCAAGACGCTCTCGTTTACTTTACAGCCGGCGAGAGGGACTCGAAGTGTCTTCTCGGAGGGTGGGTCGCGATTTAATGGATGCCGCCTATCTAACAGCAGAATCCTACGTCGGACTATCCACTTTACAGAAATATTACGACTTAGTGTTAAAGAACGGGCTGTAATGGCGGTACTACTTGATAATGAGAAAGACAATAGAAAGAGGAGGAGAAAATACTGGATACAGAGAAGTTCCAAGTTAAATTAATCGTCCGATCGTCGTATGAACAGTAACACATTCGAATTGCTATGTAGTCGAAAAGGAGTGTTAATTCTGTGCTTATTCTCTTTGATCCGGATCACTTGCATGTTAAAATGCAAACTTCAAGTCTCAATCGCCTGTATCGAAAATTGGAAGAACTTCGAGTTGGTCAAACCAAAACTTATATCCGGAGATCGATTTTGGCTACGGTCAGCGTTGACGTTCGATTGCGATATTCAATGGGTCAGCGTGATTCCTTTAAACCGAAACCACTTGCATATTAAACTACAAATTTGCAGTTTCAATTTCATGTGTCAGCGTATTCGAGTTGCCATGTCGGCGAAAAGCAGAACTGTTGATATTGTGTTGTCTTTGTTAACCAGACTGACATTAACCTACATATAAATAACGAGAATGTGTTGGTCGATGCGGGTCTAATGTTGGATGGGCGTTACGCTGTTAAATAGGCGACAACCCTTATCATCTAAAACTGCCGCACGACGATCTACCAATTTAAAAACACTGCCCCCATCCGCTCAATCTTGGTGCCTTGGATGTCTATCTAGTTTCTCTCTAACAAATTTAATCTCTCTTCGCTACCGTCAAAATGAATTCCGTAAAACAGGCGGTTGCTCTCTCAAGTTCTCCGGTGAGCACTTTCGTCTCGTTTTCTCATTCTTCTCATATTTGACTCGATTACCGAGGCAAACGGGGGCGAACTGCCGGCGGACGAGAACAGGAAAAACGAAGACGGTCCTGGGTATACGTGTTCGAATCGGTCCGGGACGCTCGCGAACTAATCTCGGGAACGAGGTAAATGGTAACTGATCAACGGGGCGGAAGGGACGAGGATGAAAGCAGGACGTGACTGTCCGGGCCACAATTGAATCCCGGATTTATGTCTGACGTCGTGACGAGGCTTGGAACTGCGAGAAGACGGCCCGCGTACGAGAGCCTGTTCGTGAACTCATTGTGTCCCCGTAATAATGGCGGCCAATTCAGTACCGCGGGCTCTCGCCGTTTCTTGAATTGCTCTTTGTCGCTGTAGTGGATGTAATTAAAAGTTAATTGTTACGGATAGAGATATTTAAAGGTATTGAAGTATAATTTGTCAAGGATCATTATTAATGTACATTTTATGTACAGGATGTAAGTATTTAATAGAAATCTTGCGGTATTCCTTCCTGTAGCAAGTGTTAGAAGTGGTCTATTCGACTGAGTCTAATTTATAACCTTAAGCTATAGAACATTGGAACAGGTAATGAAATTTTGAAACAAACTTGTTTATTATTTATGTATGAAGATTGTTTATGTTTGGATACTAACGGAGTCAAAACTTTTACTTGGGTTTTAAGAGTCCCATTTCGAGAGATCGTGGGACTCCGGGGATTTAAGCAGGCGAGGAAATGTCACGAAGTCCCAGGGGACTCGTATGTTTGGAGTAACTCGAGGTGTGGGATGGTTCGTAGATTCTAAATACCTCCGGGTCCCTCAGATCATATGAAACTTACCAACTGATACTCCCAACTTGGCCAGACTTCGGTAAGCGCCCGACTTTACGCAAATTAGGAGAGTGTTGTATTCAATACGGAGTAGTTTTTTGTTCGAGAGAAGCTTTTACATAGAGTCTCATGAGTTTACAATAACCTATAACAACTTTCTGAAATTCCAGGTGATATGTGTGAGGTCTCTTGAGTTTAACACATGTTGCATGGATCTCTTGAGAGCTAACTGTTCTACATAGAGTTTCATGAGTTCTCAAATTCTATCGAGTTCTATCGAATCTCCGTAGTCACAAACAAAGTTAAAAATAATATTAACCAATAAAACTTTTGTTTCAGACATTTTGTTCTATTTTTAATTTTACCAAAAATATTAAGACGTTTTTTCACAATTAACCCTGTACATTCACTTCAATGTATTTCATGCAACATATACGATACGTAAGATAATCATTACTTTAGTTTTACAATTCATTACCATGATTTCAGAATATCTAAACTTAAGAATTGTGAAACAAAAGAATTCTCTGAGCGGTACTTCCGTTAACCCCTTGACCTACAATATCACGTCAGGCTTGTGACAAAAATTTTCAATCGAATTTGAAAGATCTAAGTGTCATTAATCCTTTTGAAATATAAATTAAATATTACTTTTCTATTATCAATCGGTAACTTCTGGAGTAAACGTATACATAGAATAAGCATTAACATTCGTGTTCTTAATAAATGATTAACGATAAAGTAGTATCTTTATTGATCATAGTTGAGAAATAAATCATAGTGCAAGTAGTTGTCTACTCTTATACTCTGTTGATAACAGTCGAACGTTTACCACAAAGTCAGTCTTTACCCAAAACAGATGTCCGCACGGTCTCGGGCGATCGCTCGATAAAGTGAAAGTTCGCTTTTACCAAAGGCCGATCAAGTCAGCTGCTAGGTCCGCGTAGACGCCTCCTGCGCGACGCGTTCTATGCTTCGGTTCCGAGATGTCAGTAAACCGTCGTAAACCGGTTCGATCCGCCGTGTAACGCGCAGGAGCGGTGCGCACTCCCATTGACCAGTCAGTCTGTGGTCTGAGTCGTGTATTCGGGCCAATAGTAATCGTGCGGTGGCTCTGAGAACACGGTACGGGTCCCTCGTTTGGTCTTGGCCGTGGTGCGTTTCCTACACGTCACGTCGGAAACACCGATAGAACGAGATAAAGAAAAAGGCGTTAGTACACCGAGAGCCGAGGCAAAAGCTTGACACTTAGAAGCCGTCGCTCGTTCGGAGGAAAAGGGAAGTCGGTACATCGTTTCGTTGCTCCAAATCGGGAAGGGACGAGAACGGGCAGGTCCGTGTAGGATCTCCATCGTCTCGTACCTCGTCTGTCGCGTCTCTGTTTCCGGTGCGAACGTGTCCAGAAGCCGCGGAGAAGCTGCAACTCTTCTTCGGTACCAGGATTCCGCAGCGGGAGCCGCGCAAGACGAGGTGAGTCATCCGTGAACGCAACCGTGCGTTCCGCGATCAGGAAAGATCCCGTGCTACAAACGCAACGATATTATCGTTAGACAACGACGCGACAACATTCCTCGATCGATTCCGTCAGCTCCGTGGCGGTTAGACGGTCCGCGACTGTCGACGTGCGGTCGTCATCGTTCCGTCGCGATGTCACTTTTTGCGTTTGTGTGCGTGACCGCGAGTCCCCCACGATCGTTACGATCTATACGACGTGCTCCCGTCGTGTTTCCTCGTTAACCCTAGACAGACTACGGGGAGAAATATTCAGAATGTCTCATTGTCTTTTTCATAAAGACGCCAAGTCTAAATATTCAAAAAAAAAGAAAAATTACACATTGACGCCTGTAAATTTAGATGAGTATCAAACAATTGTTTTTAGGTTAGCAACCCCGTTTCTCTAGGTTATGTACGAAGATTAATGGCAAAACTCCTAAGGTCAGTCTTTCTAGGGTTAATGTCAGTCTGATAACTGTTCGCTGTATTGTTGGCACCGAGAAATCATTTTTCCCAGTGTCGTGGCGAACGATTGGCCCTTCGTGCCGCGAACATCGATCTCGTTTCGCATCCCCCACCCTCTTTACTTTTCCACCGCCCCTGAAACGGCGCGTTTCGAACTGGTCGCCACTGCGATTTCGGAAACCGAGTACGGGGAATAGAGGATCTAGGGCTCGATACGAGCGTCACCGCGAATACCAACCCTCCCGCGGTTATATACGCGGTTCACTCGACGAGAAACGAGGTTAGACGTTACACACGCGGCTATCCATGCGAAAAATCAATACACCCTCCTGGGCCCGAGCGATTCAGACGCGCGCGGGACGCGGATCCCTAGGAATCGGGGGAATCAGCCTTACGACGAAAACGAGGATCGCCTCGGGTACTACCTCGAATGCTCTCCCTCGCCTCGGATCGATTTCCGTGCACGCGTATGTACGGGGTGTTCTGTAAGACGCGACCGGGCTTGCGTCTCAAGGGTTGATTCGTCAGGAAATAGTGAAGAATTGAAATTGTAAAATAAACTCTCTGAAAGTAGCTTTTGTTGACCAACATGTTGGTTTTGTTCATTTGAGAATATATGCTGCTATAGGCGTTACCCATTTTTTAAACGAGAAGTATGGGCGATACTCGTGTTTCTTTTAAATTATACAAAGTTCTGAGATATCGTCTATGGGTTTAGTTATGTGTAGGAGAAGTACGTGAGTTTTTGTATTCAAAAGTTTTGAATAGCAAATAACAGCAGTTTGCAACAGATGCTTCAAATTTTTCTATTGTAATTACTGTCTTTTTTCTGTGGAACAATTGACCAATTTGTCTTCAAAATTTACAGTTGAATCATGGAATGTCTCGAATTCTTGCTCCTTCATTCGCCGCCATTTTGTGCCATCTGTTTTGTTGCGAATCCCGCGATTCGGGAGAAGTCTACAAATTCGTAGTTGAATTCTCCGGAAGGATACAGTTTATTTTACAATTTCGTTGAAGTTTTTCGTGAGGAATCAGCTTGTGCTAGCGAGTAGTACATTTACTGAACCCCTACATGCACGGACACGATCTATGACCTGGAGACTGCAACCGATACCGAATAGTTTTTTGTTTTCCGCGTGTGTGGAGAATGGTTTTAGGCGATGCACCATACAGTTTTCATACAGCTGAATAAAATGGAAAAAGTTCTGGCGGCAGAATTTTAATATTCGCGGGCCCTCATTGGATTGGCTTGTGAAAGTTTAATGGGATTCCGATGTCACGCCAGAATACCGAATTAACAACCCTCCGTAGGCAGACGTGCAACATTGGCTAATACCGAAATCGGTTTATTTCCGTGCGTGAATGTTTGTGCATCTAGCCGTTTGTAATCTTGTTCCTCGTATCGATTGTTCTTTCCCGCTGGTACGTCGGCCTCAGAATACATATCGCTTGTAGCGTCGGTATTACAACGGTTTAATATGCTTTCGGATCAGTATTTACATTTATTGAATACAATTCTAGCCAAATTTCCTTTTTAGTGTCAAATTTCTTGTGTTACATATGTTTCTTTGTACAGGGTGATACTAAAAGAAGGGCCACCTTTGATAACATATTATTTAATCGCTGAGGTTGTTTAAAGTCGTTACGAATTACGCATGATTTTCATGTAAATTCATTGAGGAGGAAAATCGTTTAGTAGTCAAATGACTTAAGAAGACTCAAGAATTGTAGCGCGAAAGATAAGAACTGTTATTTCGTGTAAATTATATGTTTAAAATTGCCACGTCGTACTTAATGTTCAATAGATATTCAGTTAAATGAATAATCTCTACGAAAAATAAAATTTGTCCTAGTTCCTACGATCACCCTGCGCGAACTCCGATCCCCAAAGTTCGATAACGACAACGTGTCGTAACTGTTACCCGCTATAGAACGAATTTGGTTTTAACCAGCGAAGGTTTTAATTGGCAGGAAGGCTACAAGGCCGGGGAGACGGTACGCTAATATCTCTCCGCTCGGAAGAGGATCGTAACTATAAAAATGCAATTAACGCTGCAACTTGTGCGATCGCGACGATATCTTACAAATTAATGTTATAACAAATACTGGAATCACTTTGAAACGCATCACTCGTAACCGTATCCGTACGGAGCTGCATCTTCGTGATGCACCCGCTCGAAATTATAAGCGACAACCATCGGAGGTTTAATTCCAGGTTCGCGGTCAACCAAAGTGTCATTGTGGAAGGCAAATTTCGAAAAAAAAGAAAAGAATTTGATTGTCGAGTTTCTACAAACCTTAACTCTTCATGTTACCTAATTCTGCTTAATAAAAATCAATATTATTCATTATGTTTTATTTTTTAAGTAAACCTTATAGTTTTGATAAAAATCATATTGCGACGAATCAAAAAGTATCATGAAAGGATCTAAGCATCGTCACTTTGTAAAATGACTTTTCTACTTATATTCCTTGATGCATGAGTTATCCGTTAATCAATTCTTTTCATTATCTTCACGAGGAATCGCGTATTCAAGGGTTAGTTAAGAAATTGCTATCGCCTCTATCTTCAAAAGTCCAATTTCCAGGGGCGCGTTATCAGAACTTGCCGCCAGAACAAACATAAACGATCAAAAACAAGGTTCGTCGCCAGGCCAATCGAAACACTTCGATAAATCCCCGACTCGTTGATCCTCATGAGACAGAACCGCGTACCACGCTCATCGATCGTTAATCTCGTCGTCGAACACTTTAACGTTTCCAACTTTGTGCAATAGAACAGGAAGCGAGAATAGAAACTCGCTGGCCCCTCGCAACGGGAAGAAAACGGTTGCACGAATATTTGCCCATATCTTCGATTGTACTGTACGCACGATCTATATTTGCATGCTCGTGCCTGTGTGTTCCTCGAGCCCGCTGCGTTCGCAAGGAACCGCGAGCCACGTGATTCCGAAACGCAACCACGGTTTCGTATCGCGTCCGCAACGTTTCGGAGCTAGCCGCACGGACACTACTTCGCGGTTCTCGTGACGCATGGTTCGGCAAACCGAACGATAATACCTGTAACAACTATGTTTTGACTTTGATTAACAAACAGATTCACTAAAACAGTACTTCTTCGTGGTTTTATAAGTACTCACCCACATAATAATCTTAATTTTACTTTTTGGACCGCCAGATGTGGAAGCATTTTATAGTATTTGCCCTCTATAGAAACGTGATCCACATTTTTTTCTTTTGTGTTTTTATTTGTTCGAAAAAGGTTTGTCGACGCCTAGCGTCTTGCGTGTTCCGACGAACGCGAGCAGCGCGCTCGCATCACCTTGGCAGCTGGCATGCAGCCACGCATGTTTAATCTCGATGTATGATAGTGTGAGTTCTATATGCATGCTGACGCCGCACTTTGACACGCATCTCACTTCCTTTATTATCGCGTTTTTTGTTTTGTCCCCGT